TAAAACCAGCTTGAAATGGTATTTTGGTCTGTTACTCCTTTCTGTTTTAGTTCCTGTTACCTTGTAGGTGGTTGTTCTGTTAAGTAACTTGAACAATAACCATAATAACCGATATGAAAAAATATTGTGTCATAGATCGTCTATCGTGATACTGCTTGAAAAATATCGTGATAATATATTTTTCAATATCGCCCACCCCTACATGTGGGTGGTGTTGAGATGTTTGGCAGCTCTTTTCTTTTCTTCTCTTCTCTTTGGCTTGCTTTGATAATGCCGATGGAACAAGGGTTTCCGACGTGTCAATTGCATAATTAACAGCAGGCCTTTTAACCTCTTCTAAATATCACTTTATCTTCTGAGAATGCCCAGTTTGCAGATCTGGCAGTGGACATAAATCTGAAAGCACTTATACCACCATTGGTGACAGCAATCCCATTACTTATTACTCAACACAGCGTTACTTTCCTGGCTCCAAAATGGTGGAATGAGCTCCCCATTGACATCAGGACAGCAGAAAGCTTACACATCTTCCGGCGCAGACTGAAAACTCATCTCTTTAGACTCCACTTCGAGCGATAGAACTATTAACAAAGCACTTATATACTAACAAAGGACTGGCTTATCTAAAGCCAGTTGAGTAGCACTTGAAATGTTTTAGCTTTATGAAACCTGATGTACTTATATGATTCTGTTTTCTTCAAGGTTGTATCTTCTTGGTCGAATGTACTTATTGTAAGTCGCTTTGGATAACAGCGTCAGCTAAATGCAATGTCATGTAATGTTACTTTTTTAAATAATACCAGCCCTAGTAACGTGTTCAAACCTGGGTACAAAGAACAAAGCCCTGTCGATGCTACTTCTCCTTCCGTAATGATGTGTTATAGGTAATTAGAAACATCATACACAAGGTAAATCTGTGATTTTATTGAAACAAATTGCCTTCAGACTTGTCTAAACACTGAACACTAACACAACCGTAAGGTATTTATTTATACATTCTTTTGAGGCACTAATGAAATACCTGCTGTTCGTGAATGTTGGAACCTTTATCATTTGCTTAAAGCAGGGGTGTCAAACTCAATTTCATCTCGGGCCACATTAGCATCATGGTTGCACTCAAAGGGCCAGTTTTATATACATACAAAAAATACATATATAAATATTTAATATATATAACATAATGTATTATATTACATTATTGCCTCTGCATTGGATTATTATTGGATAGGGTAATAACTTAACAAGTCTCTTCAGTGAGAATGTCACAAAATGATTTAAAAAGAAAAGCAAAATTCTGGAAAAAAAGTAAAAAATAAATAAGTAAGTGACATTTTGAAAAAAAAAGTCAGATTCTGAGAAAAAAAGTCAAATTCTGAGAAAAAAAATGCATTGTGGGACATGTAGTTTATGGGCAACGTGCTTCTGTAAATCGGCATGTAACCTTATAATAAACATATTATATTCTTTGCAAGCTCTTGTGGGGCCACGTAAAATGAAGTCACGGGCCGGACTTGGCCCCCGGGCCTTGAGTTTGACACCCCTGGCTTAAAGGGCTAAACATGGGAGAAACTTCTAGATTAAAGCAAGATTAGGATGATCTCACTGCCTCCAAAGTAGCTGAATGCAGAGCAAACTAAGGTCGGCCTGTACAGGAAGTTCTTGTTGATATCTGGTTAGCCGTGTAGTGACGACTTGAATTGAATTGCCCTCATGAGTTTGTCTTTTATCAAACATTATCTGGAGGTCTACAGACGGTCAGAGACTCGCTGAGACCAACATAAACAATATTCTAAGACAGAGTTGTAATGTTTTAAAGTGAAACTACTTGATGGCTTAGAAGTGCTACATGGAAATATCCTGCGCTACCGAAGAACCTCTCAACCAATCAAACCATGGAGATGAAGTTAATGGTAGCAAATGGTCTACTTACTCTATCTGCTATTTGTTTTTGTACTTATTGCGTAAATAGCGTACTTAGTTATTTTAGAAAATGTCTACAGTAGAGTAACCTGGATTTTACTTGATTGGACAAAGTGTATTACAGTTAATGAAAGTCAATGACTACCTATCCAAGGGGAGGGATGAAACCGTTGCAATGTTCTTGTGACTCTTTTTTAAATATCACCGGCCACCTACTGTTCAATGTGTCGTAATGGTCGCTTTCAAAAGCATAATGCACTCGAACACATGACAAAATATGTATGTGATCCCAGCCATATGCTGAGTGCATCTTTGTGTAGATTTGAACTCATTGCATCTTGGGTGTAACAGCCGCAATATTGGCCTTAAAGAGTCAAAATGATGGTTAACCCCAAACCTAACCCTAAGTAAGAAACATCAATTATCCTTTGTTAACCACAGAAATCTCCTCAATATGGGTTCTGTGCATCAGAAAAGACCCTTCTGATTTATCCATACAGTAAAAGTGTTTATGTGATCCCAGCTATATGCCGCGGTAGATTTCTTTCGATGTTATAAGAGCACGTTGAACAAATCTCCAGCCTCCTCTCATAAGGGCAGAGGTATAACAACGTGTCGTTTCCTAGCTCACACTAAGTGCATTTCCTTGTTCATTTGTGC